CATCACATTATTTTTAATGTTTTGCATAATATTCCATTGAGGGGCATTTAGATGGTTGCCATTTTTTTTGCGATCACAAATACTGCTTCAACGGATATTTTGCTTATAAATATTTTTCCCAAAAGATTTCCTTAAAGCAGAATCAGACCTGTACATACAGAGAAAAAACTGATGGTTGCCAGAGGGGAGGAGGCTGGGGGTGGGGTGGGGTGGGTAAAATGGGTGAGGGGGGTGGGAGATACAGGCTTCCAGTTATGGAGTGAATAAGTCACAGGAATAAAAGTCACAGCATAAGGGGGGAAAAACAAGATTTCCCTAAACTCTATCCCTAAACATGAAATTACTGGAACCATTTTTAAGTTCTAAATAAAGTTGCCAAACTAGTTTTCCAGCAAGTTCCACCCACTTACATTCCCCCTAGAAGTACAAGAGACTTCACTACAGGAACAATGGTTGTAGCAAAGTCTTTCTTCTTCTTCTTCAATGAAATGAAGCAACTTTACAGAAAAACGAAGAATATTGAACTATGAAATGTTCTCGCCGTGGCTGACTGTCCTCTGATATTTAATACCCCTGGGATTCTTACGTGATTGTAATTAGTGGATACATACTACTTTGGATTCTGCTCTTTCACTGCAAAGTACTTTCTACCTATCAATATAGCTCACACATTGGTCATTTGTTAATGGTCAGCACAGAGCCTGACGCGGGGCTCAAACCCACACACTGTGAGATCATGACCTGAGCCGAAGTCGGACGCTCAACCAACTGAGCCACCCAGGTGTCCCATTAAGTTCTTAAGAATCTTAATTAATCTCCACATTCCGCGTAGAGCCTGACATGGGGGTTGATCCCAAGACCCTGGGATCGAGACCCGAGCCGAAGTCGGACGCTCAACTGACTGAGCCACCCAGGCGCCCCCACACCTGGGTCATTTTTAATCACTCTGTAATTCCTCGTTCGTGCCTCCCAGGGAGCGTGATGGTTTTGTCAGGATTTGCGGCTGTTTCCGCTCTTCACCATTAAAGTTAGTAGTAAAACATCTTTGCAGTCTCCCACTCCTCACTTTGCCAAGAGTGAAATGACTTGATCAAAGAGTACAAATCTTTTTATAGTTCCGATTGCAGACGGCCAAGTTGCTGGGCAAGGTTTGTTTTTTTTTTTTTTTG